TAAAAGGAAGGGAAATGTTTATATTGTTGATTTTGATGATTTATCTTCATATAATGTAAAATGCTTAATGGCTAAAAATGAAAGTGAGAGTTGGCTATGGCATAGAAGGTTATGACATGCAACCATGCATTTGATTTCTAAATTATCTAAGAAAGATCTAGTTATAGGGTTGCCTAAACTAGTTTTTGAGAAAGATAAAATCTGTGATGCTTGTCAACAAGGTAAACAAACACAAATTTCCTTTAAGTCAAAGAAGGATGTAACTACATCAAGGCCACTCGAACTTCTGCACTTGGATTTGTTTGGTCCTATTGATGTCACTAGTTTTGGAGGTAAAAAGTATACTTTAGTAATTGTAGATGATTATTCTAGGTATACTTGGACTTCATTTTTGGCTCATAAGAAAGATACATTTAGTGAATTTACTAAATTTTGTAAAAAGGTGCAAAATGAAAAGGGATTCACTATTACATGCATTAGAAGTGATCATGGAGGTGAGTTTGAGAATGATAAAATGAAAGAATTTTGTAACTCAAATGGAATTGAACATAACTTTTCTTCTCCAAGAACTCCACAACAAAATAGAGTTGTTGAAAGGAAAAATAGAACCTTACAAGAAATGGGCAGAACAATGCTATGTGAAAATCAATTACCAAAATATTTATGGGCAGAGGCTATTAACACAACATGTTATATTTTGAATAGAGTTCTAATTAGGTCAAACTTGAATAAGACATCATATGAATTGTGGAAGAATAAGAAACCAAATATTTTTCATTTTCGTGCATTTGGTTGTAAATGCTTTGTGCATAACAATGGCAAATAAAATCTAGGAAAATTTGATGCTAAGAGTGATGAGGCTATTTTTCTTGGGTACTCATTAACAAGTAGAGCATATAGAGTTTATAACAAAAGAACTTTAGTTGTAGAAGAGTCCATGCATGTTACATTTGCTTAAAATAATGTTTCCCCAAGAAAGGTTGTTTTGGATGATGATGCAGGTGAAATTCAAACAAGGTTTGGAGAGCTACATCTTGAAGAAAATTCTGGAAAAGAAGAAGGCTCACAAAAACAGAATGATGTTCCTTACCAAGACTTTCCAAAGACATGGAAATTCAAGAAAGATCATCCTAAAGATCAGATCATTGGTGACATAGAAAATGGGGTAACAACAAGATCTCACTTTGATTTTGTCAATAATTTTGCATTTATTTCTCATATAGAACCTAAGAATGTCAATGATGCATTAGAGGATGAAAATTGGTTCTTAGCAATGCAAGAGGAATTAAATCATTTTCAAAGAAGTAAAGTATGGAATCTTGTACCTTGTCCTAGTGATCACCCTATCATAGGTACTAAATGGGTTTTTAGAAATAAGTTAGATGAAAATGGTCATGTTGTTAGAAATAAAGCAAGACTTGTTGCTAAGGGATATAGTCAAGAGGAAGGTATAGACTATGATGAAACATACGCACCAGTTGCTCGATTAGAATCTATACATATGCTATGTGCATTTGCATGCCATATGAACATGAAACTTTTTCAAATGGATGTTAAAAGTGCATTTTTAAATGGATTCATTAAGGAAGAAGTTTATGTTGAGCAACCCCCTGGTTTTGAGGACCCCTATTTCCCAGATCATGTATTCAAGTTATCTAAGGCTTTGTATGGGTTAAAACAAGCTCCTAGAGCTTGGTATGAAAGACTAAGTGGGTTCCTAATTGAAAAAGGTTTTTCTAGAGGAAGAGTTGACACCACTCTATTTATAAAGCATCATGAAAAGGATTTCTTAATTGTTCAAATCTATGTAGATGACATAATATTTGGTGCTACTAATGAACTTCTTTGTGAGAATTTTTCTAAGCTTGTGCAAGGAGAGTTCGAGATGAGTATGATGGGAGAATTAAATTTCTTCCTTGGTCTACAAATCAAGCAGAGTAATGAAGAGATTTTCATTAACCAAACAATGTATACCAAAGAGTTGTTGAAAAAGTTTGGGATGGAAAAGGCTAAGCCTCAACCCACACCAATGAGCTCAACCCTCAAACTGGACAAAGACGAGCAAGGTAAGCCTTTTGATCAAAAACTTTTTAGAAGCATGATAGGTTCATTATTATACTTGACAGCTAGTAGACCTGATATTATGTTCAGTGTGTGCTTGTGTGCTCGTTTTCAATCATGTCCTAAGGAGTCTCATTTTACTGCATTAAAAAGAATCTTTAGATATCTTATAGGAACACAAAACTTAGGTCTTTGGTATCCCAAAGGAATGAATTTTGATTTAATTGGTTTCTCAAATGCTGACTTTGCTGGTAGTAAGATTGATAGGAAAAGCACTAGTGGAACTTGTCAAATTTTAGGAAGTTCTTTGGTTTCTTGGTACTCTAAGAAAGAAAATTCAGTTGCCTTGTCAACTACTGAGGCTGAGTATATTGCAGCTGGTAGTTGTGCAACTCAACTTTTGTGGATGAAACAACAATTAGAGGATTTTGGATGCAAACTTGAAAGTATTCCAATTAGATGTGATAACACTAGTACAATCAATCTAACCAAGAATCCAATTCAACATTCAAGAACAAAACATATTGAAATTAGATATCATTTCATTAGAGAACATGTGAACAATGGTGACTTAACACTTGAATTTGTTAAAACTAAAAACCAGTTGGCTAACATATTTGCCAAACCTTTGAGTGAAGAACGATTTTGTTTAATAAGACATGGCATAGGGATGTATGATCCAACTTGTTGAACTTTAATTATTAAAGTCCAGTTGTATTATCCTTAAACCAAAATAATAATAATAAAATAATAATAATAATAATAATAACGGGTTCGATGAGGGTGCGTTTTTGATTTGAACTTGTTCTAACTGGTTCAAAGCAAACAACAAATAATGGTCTCAAATTTTTCTCCTTAAATCATGCCGTGGAGGAAGACCTTAGTTCGCAAGAGTAGTAAGAAAGGGACCAGATCAGAGTCATAATTTCAGTATGTTTATTTTAGTATTTTGGCTATTTTGTTTATCATAATTTCAGTATTTTGTATTCTTACAATGTCTGACTTTTGTGTACTGCTTATTTGTGCTTTTGAACCCTATGCAATATGCTTTGTGCTAATGACAAAAAGGGGGAGAGGAACTTAAAAATGAAAAATATCTTTATTTCTTATTTGTGCAAATCCTGTTGAATCTTGGAAGCATATTTTGAGGGGGAGCTTACATTTATTATCTTTATTATTTTAAGGCATGGTTTTGTCATCATCAAAAAGGGGGAGATTGTTAGGTTCTCTTTGTATTTTGATGATGATTTAAAACCATGATTCAAAAGAGTTTAATCTATTTTTGTGCTAAGTGTGCAGGAAAATTAATCCAAGGTTTCTAATCTTTCCCCATGATTAGAATTAATTCATGTTCTCCTTGTTCAGAGTTCTAGGTTCGAACCAATTTATTTTGGCTCGAATCAATCCCGAACTTTTGTTTTCCGAAAATGGTTCGAACAATTATCTTTGGCTTCGAAGCAAAAATTCTAGAAGGGTAAATTTTGATAGTTCAACTATCCATTTATTTTTATTTTTAATGGATCTTGGGGGAACCAATTGTCTGAGCACTTTCCAAAGTCAAGTCAAAAATAGTAAAATAAGGTGGAATCTAATTGGAGCTTTTGTGAGGTGGCTTTGAAGGGACTTTAATTGCAAGGCTCCAAATCTTTATTAAAATGATCAAAAAATTCAGATTTGAAAAAAAATAGAAGAAGGACGAACTGCTACAGAAACTGAGTTTGATATTGTTTTAGGTTTCCTTCTTCTTTTCTTGTTGTGAGCTTTTGGGTTAATTGTCTTACAAGGGTTTTGTATTCTTCTTGGATTGGGTTAATCCTTGAAGGGGTTGAGTGAGTTGAGATTCACTTGTGAGGGTTTAATTTTGCTCCCGCAAGCAAGAGTTTGTTCCGGTTTAATCTTGCACCCGTAAGCAAGAGATTTCTAGTGGATTGAACTCTCGAGTAAGGAGGCTTAGGGAGTGGACATACTCCGGGTTGGAGGAACCACTATAAATCACAGCTTGATTTTCTCTTCCCTCTCTTTTATTTTTCTGCACTATATTATTACTCTTGTTTGTTTTGCTCAACAGTTTATAAATTGCAAACTTGATTTAAGTCTTGAAAGAAAAAGAAACAAGTTTTTAAGTTTAAATTGATAAGACCCAATTCACCCCCCTCTTGGGTAGCTTGCTGGGATTACAAACCCTAGACTGCATGTCCTATTTAGCTACCCTTTTTTTGTCTATACATGAGCTAACCTTTAGGTAGTGGGGATAATTAAAAGTTTATTTTTTTCTTTATTTAAAAATAATATAATTGTTTATTTGTTAAAACAAAATGAGTATGTGATTCACACTTTTATATGTGAGAAGACATTAATTTACACACAAATTTTACATATTGCATCTATACAAATTCTTAATTATTTATCTTTTCACTTTCATTGGTTGAAATTTATCATAATTTTTTAGATGAAAAAGATAATCATCTTTAATAAATATAAATAAATCTTAATCATTGAAAGTGAAAAGATGAATATTTGAGATTTTGTGTAAGTATGATAATAAAAATTTGTGTGTAAATAGATCCATATTCTTTAATTTTATTTATTTATTTATTAGTTTTATAAAATTAATACTTTTAATGATAAAAAAATATATTAAAAGCTAAACTTCATTACCTTTAAACATAGTTTTATTAATCATTTAACATCAACCAACAATTACTAATCATTGTATAACTACATGATTATATTAATCAAAATTCACTTTTTATAATTCATTACCTGGTTCTTGGTTTCTGCTATCTGTCATCCGCTAACTATTACCCACTACAGCTATCCATTACCCGGTACTTGCTATCTACTAACTTTTAATTATTATACCAAACATGCCTCAACTACTTTGGATCCATGGCAAAGTGTACGAGGTTGGACACGTGTTGTTTTATTAACTTTGGAAGTTAAATTGTAATTTACAAGTGTCACATCTCATAACTGAGAATGAAACAAACATCGTGCACTTATGAGAGACTCCCACAAATACACAAGGCTCAAAACCTACTTAATTCATAATGTATAATTCATATATGGCAATCCACTAAACTAAGATTAATATCTCAAAATAAAATCTAGCTTTTATAACCAAGGCTTGACTAGGTCAAGAGTGCACAAAATTATACAACTCCATCAATATAGTCATGACTATCTCCAAGGAAATCTATTTTACAAAAGAATGATCTATATCCCAAAATCTATGTCCAAAAATAATTTGTCCAGCAGTCTAACTCCAAAATAATCTAAGTCCAAAATACAAGTGGCTAGCCTTCTAACTCATCAGTCCCCTTGGTTCCTCGCATCCCTAGTCTCATTACCTGAAATGGTGGACAAGGAAAAATTATGTGAGATAACTCAGTAAGTAAAAATATGGATAGCCCTTATTTAAATTTAAAGCATGCTAGATAACAATTTAAAACCTAAACCAAACAAAAAATCTCAAATATAAACAATTAATACACAATAAAACTCATTAGTGGTCTCCTCAATTAGTCTTGACCAGTGTTTAACAAACTCCCACTAGCAAGCGTTAGGAATAACTAGTGTACTATCCCATTGGCAAGATAATAGGAATAAATCAAGACAAACTGATTTTTCCAAGAGTACATGTTGACATGTGCTAGCATTTACAACTCCCACTGGTGGGTTTCAGGAATCATGACCACATTTGGAGACAAAACCATGCAAGAGTTAACAGGAAAATTCATAATTTACAAACCAATTTCATATTATCAAGACAATCAACTAAAGTCCATGTAGGCATGCTCGACTCAATAAAAATAATGACAACTTCATTTCAAACCATGTCATGCTCATGTGCTAATGAAAATCGATTTAGGTCCCGCCACCATCTCAAAAAATATAGTTCAAAATATGCTTCTAAAACTTTTACCTTAAAATTCAAGGGCATTTACCATAGTTTTACTTACCTCGCCTTGTAGGTAAATAACTAGCAAGGAATTCAAGAACTCAAGGCAGTTAAGGTAATTTAAAACCTACATACTAGATCAAATGAACAACAAGATTATAGCATAACCCATTTAACTAAATTGGTTCTCCATTTCAAATCGAGTTTCTAACTGAAGAAACGATTTCTCCCTACACACCCTTACCACTTCAACCCATTGAAACCTTACTAATATATTAATATGTTTAATAATACTCAAAATATTCTTAAAATAGCTCCAAGTGCCACTCAAAATAACATGTGTTCCAAACAAATTCTCAAGGTAAAACAAAGTGTAAAAATAGTGAGAAACCAAGCTCTAAACTTTCCTAGACACTAGCAAAAATATTGGGCAACAAGGTGGGGTTTCAACCATTTTGAATAGTCTCAAAATGTTTAGAAAAGCCCTGAACAGTAGGGATTTTCTTGGCAAAAACACCAATAAATAAGTGTAGAAAACAAGTCAAAACTAGATAGAATTAGATAGCATTTAAGCAGAAATACAACAACTGAATGTGACTAAAAAACTAGATAGTTTTGTGCCAAATTTTCAAGCAAAGTGTCACTAAAACATGACAGATCTTTAGTGATTTAATCGAGGATAACAGAGCAGACTTGTAGCAACAAAATAGAGAAATAATAAAGGGTTTTAAACTAGAAAAACAATAGCCACTGAAAAGTGAAATTTTGAGTTGTTCTTCGTTGTTTTGTGTGTGATTTATGTGTAGAAAAATCATGCGATCAGGTGTTATTTTTACAACATAAAACCGAGCAACCATACATGTTTTAAACAACAGATATCTATAATTTTTCAAGAGCAAAATAGATTGGAAATGAGGTAGTAGAAACAGACAAACAAGAGTAGAAATTAGCACTCATGATTGAATAAAGAAGAGGGTAACTCACCAGAACGATGGGGAAATTTTGAAAAATTTCTGGGAGTAACTAGTAGAAGAATAAGCAAATTAAAAGAGATATAACTTGCTCCAACACACCCAAAAGGGAGGCAGAACCAAACCCAAACAACGAAGATGCACACAAAAAATAGTAGGAAATCATCGATAAAAGAGGAATGATGAACAACAGCAAGCTCTAAAATTTCCCTAAAATCTCCATCCATAAGTGGAAACTCTAGGTGAAATTTCATTCTTAAGAGAGAAGTAAAGGGAAATCAAGTCTTGGAACATTTGCTACTTACCTAAATTTCCAATGAAGGAGATTTTTTTTTTTTGGTAAAAGTGAAGGAGATTAGTGATGTTAATAATGTGGTTGGCAAAATTGAAAGGGAAAACTAGAGGAAACTACCCCAAAATAAAAGATAGCAAAAAGTTGAAGTTAACCCGACTCAACCAAGGATGAAAAGATGAATTGTGGCCATTTTTCTTACCAAAAAATGTTAGAAAATAGCGACCTTCTATGCTGCTCAATTAACCTAACACAGACCAAGAGATTGGAGGGGTATCAGCAACAAGGATTAGATTTTGGTCATCATTTTTGGAACCATAACCTCACTAGTCTCTAAAGCTTATTAGGAGAAAGAAGAAAAAACTAAAAAGAAGAAAAACCTAAGTCTCACCTATTTTTTGGGCAAGAAGGCACTAGGCGCAAGCTAGTAGGGCTTGTCAAGGCTAAAATTCTGATGAGGGGTTACAGGGAATCATCCAAGAAGGCAAGGAGAAAAAATGAATCCCTTTATCACCAAATTCTCTTTTAACCCCCCCCCCCTTAGGTTTGTAAATTT